CCCCTGCTTCATTTGTTGCAGAAATTGGAGTGTGTGGAGTGAATGAGGCAAGGGATTGCATGAAGAGAAAGTATGATCTGGTAGTTAATGCAATTAAATGCGGCCCTGGGAATTTGGATTCTATCCCTGCCTCTGCCACAGAGTTCCTATATGCTGGGCAAGTCACTTGAACCAAACTTTTCGTAGGTGGTCATTAATTGTGTGTTCCTCGTTTTTTTAGGTGCTTGATTTCAGACCTTGCATCTATTTGCAGAAATGCCAAGCACTCACATCTGCAACTGAAATCAATGCTTTGAACATAGTGTTATATAATGTTAAGTACTCTGAAAAATCCGGTCTTAGGCATCTCAGTTCAGGTACTCCAAATCAGTGGCTTTTTTGCCCTAATCGCTCTCTGTCTCCGTTTCCCATGTGTAAAAGAGGAGTGAGAATATTCCATTTCCTTGTCTAGCCCATCTCATTACTCCCTTCATCCAATCTTTCTCTGAAGCATGCCCAATGTGGACAGAATCTTCAGGGAATTTAGCTACTTAAGTTAAGTCTCTACTGAGCATGTAGAAACTGGGAATTTTAAAAGGTTTTCAACATTGCTAAATTTGGAGGAGATTTTCATTGGGATGCTTTTTGCCACATCATGATACAAAAGCCATCCCAATTTTGAGTCCCTACTCCAAACACATAGGGTTCTCAAGCTTGTCAAAGGTCACCAGAAATTTTTTAAATGAGTCAAACAACATTTTTTCCTAGCCTTATTCTTGGAAATGGCTAAAACAGTTCAGCCTGAAGCAGACACCTGGCATGGAAATTTTCAGCATAAACAGTTAAAGTTTGGCAAAGTTATAAACAACTGAAAACAGGTTTTATAATGAAATGGGTCAAGCAAATTTAAGAGGTGGTGCTACTAGCCCCCACCTAGCATATAGTCCGAGAATGTAGATAGACGCAAGTGACCCTGGGCAAGTGACTTCATTTCTATGCCTCACTTTTCCCACTTCTTAAATTGGGAATAATGATACTTGCCTTCCTCTGCAAAGAACTTTGAAATTGATGAAATTTCAGTCTGTAAGAGCCATGTATTATATCTGAGGCTAGTAACATTTCCCTAAAGTCCTTCAAGTTATCAGGAGAAACATCTATTCATAGCAAGATAGTTTCTAAAAACAATGGAGTAATAAGGCTAACAGTAAAATAAGACAGTGTTACTTGGTTATAATGGCAGATTCATCAATACAGCAATATATGGCAAATCTACCTAGCAAATTAGTTAATTTTCCTAGCTACACTGAATGACAGTTCTAACAGTCAACTGAATCATTTTTTCCACATGTAGAAACTTAAAAAAATGTAAGGAAACTGGAGTGCTTTTTTTTTACTGCTTTATGGACGCTACCAGTCACGTAACAATCTTGTATCAACCAACATTTATAGTTAAAATGACAATTCAGGCACTGCAACACTGAAGAGCTAAGAGGTCACTAGTTTTGTTTACATTCTTTACATTTTAAAAACAAATACATCTGATCCTTCCAATATTCTTCTGTAGGAAAGATATGACTAAGGCTATGTCTATACTGTACACCTTACAAGGGCGTGGCTGTGCTCCTGCAGCTGCACTGTTGTAAGGTAAGCAGTGTAACCACTCTGTCCCAGCGACAAAATAAAACCTCCTCCAACGAGGGGTGGTAGCTTCGTCACCAGGAGCGTGGCTCTTGCTGATGGAAGCGCTGTCCACAGTGGCGCTTTTCGTCGTTAAAACTGTCATTCAGGGGGGTGTTTTTTCACACCCCCGGGCAACAAAAGTTTTAACAAAAGTGCCAGTGTAGTCAAAGTCTTAGTATGCCAGGTTTAGGTATGTCTATACTACATGCTTTACATGAGCCAAAATCTCAGCTGTACATGCCATAATTTCATTCCAGAAGTAAGCAACATCAAGAGAAATAATTACATCACATAGTAACCTTCTTTAAAAATCACAAACTGTTTACACAATATCTAACTCCAAACACATAAAATAAGCTTTATGGAACTAGAGGAAACTCTACCAGAGAGAACTGTCAGTATGTCTCCAGGCTTATTGACTCGCAATTACCCGAACATATGGTGTCACCGAAGCTGTTCAGATCTTTTGGATTCATCAAAGTTACAGAAGCAAAACAGCTAGAGATACTGTCTTGAGCAGCGGTTTTCAAACTATGGGTCGGGACGCCAACGTGGGTCACAACCCCATTTAAATGGGATCAGCAGGGCTGGCTTAGGCTTGCTGGGGCCCAGGCTGAACACAGAGCCTCTCCGCTCAGGGCCAAAGGCAAAGCTCAAGAGCTTCATCCCTGGGTGGTGGGGCTCAGGTTACAGGCCCCCCTGCTCGGGACTGAAGCCCTTGGGCTTCAGCTTTGAGCACCACCACCACCACCCCCCGCCCGGAATGGTGGGGCTCGGGCTTTGGCCCCCACCCACCTGGGGCAGTGGGACTCGGGTGGATTCAGGCTTTGGTCCCCCCTCCAGGGGTTATATAGTAATTTTTGTTGTCAGAAGAGGGTCGCAGTGCAATGAAGTTTGAGAACCCCTGGCCTTGAATAATAAATTACTTAACCATACTGGCAATACATCACTCATAAAAGATACACTTCCAGTTCTGATTTATCTATGGAGGACACCTGCATGTAGTTCCATTGGGGGTGGGGGGAGAATTGTGTTTAGTCCATGACAGTTTGAGCAGGTTTCTAAGGGCTAGTCTACACTGGCAACGCTAGAGCATCAAAAAACCACCTCCACAAAGGGCGCAGCTCCCAGCACTGGTACACTGTCTACACTGGCACTTTACAGCGCTAAAACTTGCTGCGCTCAGGAGGGTGTTTTTTCACACCCCTGAGCGAGAAAGTTGCAGCGCTGTAAATTGCCAGTGTAGACAAACCCTAATATACATTTCAAATGCTAGACCAGGGGTGGGCAAAATTTTTGGCCCAAGGGACCACATCTGGGTATGGAAATTGTATTGCGGTGCATGACTGTTTACGAAATTGGGGGTTGGGGTGCGGGCTCTGGGGTGGGGCCAGAAATGAGAGGTTCAGGGTGCAGGAGGGGGCTCTGGATTGGGGTGCAGGGCAAATGGTGAGGGCTCCAGCTGGGGGTGCAGGCTCTGGGCTGAGGCATTGGGGGTGCAGGAGGTTGCTCTAGGCTGGGACAGAGGGGTTCAGAGAGCAGGAGGGGGATCAGGGCTGGGGCAGGGGGTTGGGGCACGGGAGGGGGTCAGGGGTGCAGGCTCCGGGTGGCGCTTACCTAAAACAACTCCCAGAAGCAGCGGTATGTCCCCCCCTCCGGCTCCTACATGGAGGTGCAGCCAGGCAGCTCTGCACACTGCCCTGTCCGCAGGTGCTGCCCCCGAAGCTCCCATTGGCCACGGCTGCCGGCCAATGGGAGCTGTGGGGGCAGCACTTGGGGCGGGGGCAGCTTGCAGAGCCCCCTGGCTGCCCCTTCGTGTAGGAGCCAGAGGGGGGACATGCCGCTGCTTCTGGGAGCCATGTGGAGCAGGGCAAATCCCCGATCCCGATCCCCGTCAGGAGTGGGGCAAGCCCCGGACCCCGCTCCTCAGCGGGAGCTTGAGGGCTGGATTAAAACGTCTGGAGAGCCAGATGCAGCCCCCGGGGCCGTGGTTTGCCCACCCCTGCTGCGCTAGACTCACATGTCCATGATTAGTAGGGCTTATAAGCAAGAAAAATTATACAAGGAAGCTGACAAATAAAATATACATGAGTCATCTGACCCTTTTAATCCTGTATATTTAATAAAACAGTCATACAGTAATAAGTACAACCAATGTAAAAATGTTAAGACAACAAAAAACTAACTGCAGAGCAAGCCGCAGGGGAAAAAATGTTTACATATCTATTCACCCTCAGGGCCCATCAGTTCCAAAATAAACTATGTACTCCCAGTGCTTGATTAGTTGGAGTCATTTCTATTTTATACCTTCTATGCAAATAATGTTTTAAAGCAGAGGTTCTCAAACTGGGAGTTGGGACCCCTCAGGGGGTCGTGAGGTTATTATGTGGGGGGGTCACGAGCTGTCATCCTCCACCCCAAACCCCGCTTTGCCTCCAGCATTTATAATGGTGTTAAATATATTTAAAAGTGTTTTTAATTTATAAGGGAGGGAGGTCACACTCAGAGACTCTCTGTGTGAAAGGGGTTACCAGTACAAAAGTTTGAGAATCACTGTTTTAAAGCCTGCACTGTAAAAAGTTCTTTTTCCACTAAGCCACATGCCAGCCACCTCCTAAAAAACCCAAACCATTTTAGAAGCTTATACATTTTTTTGTTAGGCTCCAACCATAAAAAAAAATCAAACCAAGGTCTGAAATGCCAAAATTTAAGATGAGCCCTTACTAAAACCAAACCTCTACCTCACATAGAGGAACAGCAAAAATAAAAATGTAGTAAAATAATTTGTGATATGCCCTATCAGAGGAAAGCAAGTTGTATCATAGTGCAGAAATCCTCCTACTTATTTGTGTAGTGATTATGAAACTGCCTGGAAGTTGAGATTCCTTTCACACACTTTCCCAATTACTGTCAGGTCTCCTCAATGCCCTCTCAATAAAACCTTGGGCCTCAACTCCCTGTTTTTGGTTTTAGCCTGCTCCAGCAACATTACACCCTGCACAGCTGAAGCTGGGAACCTTCCACCACCACAATGGGCCCTGTGCCCCTCCCAACAGACCCTGAGCAGCTAAGCCTTAGGCAACCCCTCTCCTGACTCCCCACACAGAGGGGCCCCGGGAGCCCCCCGCCCCCCCCCCCCCCACACACCCGCGCGAACGCAGCGGGGCCCCGCCACCTCCACACACAGCAAGACCCTACCTCTGCGCGTACCTAAAGACACACAGGGCGGGGGCCGGGGGAGCCCCCCGACCGCTGACCTCGACACCTGCCTCCCCCTCGACGTCCGACCACCCCCCACTCGCCCTCCCCGAGACCGGGGCCTCCCGGCCCGACGCACTTACCGATCAGCCTGCGCACCTCCTCCTCGCTCATGTAGAGGCTGAGGCCGGGGCCTGCGGGGGAGCTCACGCCAAGCGGGTCGGAGCTGGGGCTCGCCTGGCTCTCGGCCCCCGCGGCCAGCAGGAGCAGCAATAGCAGCGGCAGGAGATGGCGACGCGGGGCCCGCCACCGAGCCGCGGGGCCGCCGGGCAGTGCACAGCCCCCGCCGCTCCAGGGCCGCCCTGCAACCTCTGCCCCGCGGCCCCTGCCCCGACTGCCGGGCCCCATCGCTCCTCAGGGAGCGGACCCCGCCCGGCCCCTCACACGCCACAGCCCGCCCCGCCGCTCATGCTCGATCTCCCGCCGGGCCGCTCGCTCCGCTCCCGCCGCAGGCCCCGCCCCCCGGGCCGGGCTCTGACCGACCGAAGCACCGCCCACCACCTCGTGCGCGCGCGCCACCTCCTCCGCTCCCGAGAGCCCGCGCGCAACGCCCACCCTCTTCGCGAATGCCGCGCATGCGTCACACAGCGCCGGGCATGCGCATTAGCCACGCCCCGTTCCTTCCCTCTATTATCACAGGCCACGCCCCTTCTATCACTTCTTGGTCCCGCCCCCTGGCCCCTCCTCAAATGACCCCCCCATTATCCATTAATATGTCCCACCATTGTGCCCCAGTCCATATTCACCCCATTTAGGGTGACCAGATGTCAGGGCCGGCTCCAGGCACCAAGCACCCAAGCTGGTGCTTGGGGCCGGGGCTCGCGGCGCGGCCCCCGGCGCTCTGGCCGCCGGGGGGGAGACCGGAGCCGCCGCCGGGGCTCGCCGCCCTCCCCCAGGGGCTCCGGCCGCCCCCTCCCGGCAAAAAAGCCAGAGCCGGCCCTGCCAGATGTCCTGATTTTATAGGGACAGCACCACTATTTGGGAATTTGTCTTATATAGGTGGCTACTCCCCCCCCCATCCTGATTTTTCACACTTGCTATCTCAGGGGTTCTCAAACTGGGGTTCAGGACCCCTCAGGGGGTCGCAAGGTTATTACATGGGGGGTCGCGAGCTCTCAACCTCCACCCCAAACCCCACTTTGCCTCCAGCATTTATAATGGTGTTAAATATATATATATATATATAAAGTGTTTTTAATTTATAAGGGGGGGTCGCACTCAAAAACTTGCTATGTGAAAGGGGTCACCAGTAAAAAAAGTTTGAGAGCCACTTTGCTATCTGGTCACCCTACCCCCATTAGCCCATACTCCCTCCCCTCCCCCTCTTCTCCACACAATTTCCTTCATAATACTCCTTTCTATCTTTCCTCTTGGCATACCATCTTCCCTTCCTGCTCAATTCCCTTTATCTTTTCCCAGGGCCCCACTAAGGCAGAGGCACTATAGGCCCATGGCTAGGGTCCCAGCTCTTGGAGTCATATAGTCATACCAGAATCTCACCTTTCATTTAAAAAAAAAAAAAAGTTTTTAGCCTTCATGGGTGGATAAAAAAGCTTGAAAATGGGACCAAAGTATAACTGACGCAGTCATACATATCTGCTTGATTCTGCAAAGAGAGTAGAACAATAACTCAGAGAGAGGAACTGCCCCATGCATAATCCACTTAGGGATCCAAGTGGATCCAAGACCGACTGTTCTAGGGGTGCCTGGCAGGGAACTCAGTATGGTATGGGAGAGGAAGGATGCAGCTGGCCTAGCTCAGCCCTCCCATGTGGATCACACTGGCTGCTGGAGTAAGTACTGGGGGGATTCCTTTTCTACCAGCTCTGAAGGGGGGAAGGGACCTCTGCTGTTCCTGAAAGAAGGGGAGCCTTCCCATCACTGTCACTACATATGAGGAACATGGCCACAGGGTGGGGGTGAGACCATAGGACCAGGACCATGGGTTCCTACTTGCCTTAGGTCAGCTTTGCCTCTTCCTTTCTTTTCCTTGGGCACTGCTGTTGGCAAGTCCTGCTCTACCTATAGCCTCCATGAAATGGTTGGCACATCCCATTCTTGAAACACTTGTACCAACCTTCCTCTTAAGAGCTTATGTCCCCTGCACATCAATTCTATATAGATTCTTATACCACATTCACCACCATTGTTTCTGAGCACCTGCCTGTCATACGTTAAGCAAGATGACTAACGTCTGTCAAGTGTTGTTTGTTCTCTCATTCTCACCCCAGGGGAGAAGTGCATACAGTGGAGTCTCTTGGTTGATAGGGTTGTTGGTTTCCTTTCATACGTCCCCACCCACAGGGGTCTCAAATCCAGATGCACAAGGGAGCAGACATGTTCCAATCCTCCACGTAGCAGCCTGCTGGCAATAGCTTACCTGAAACCCACAAAGCCCTGCCCAGTGTGACACTCTGCCCTTGAGGTCTGATTGGTGGAGTCCCAGAGCAACTGATTGGCCTGCTAGCCCTACTCAAGCCGGCAGCAGGAGGCTGTCTGAACAACTGAGCTCTACCCTACTCCAGCCTGTGTGCCTTGTGCTTCTTGCTACACACTCTTGCTTCCCCGGCTTGATCACCTGGCATTCCGACCTGGCGTGACTCCAACATCTGACTCATGGCTCCTGATCTCCAGTTTGTTTCCTGACCCTGACCCCTAGTACCTAACCCAGTCTCACTCTTGTTCCCGCCTCGTGGGTCTGATCTTCTGCTTCTGCCATCCCGGTATCCCGACCCATCTGACTTTTGACTGCCATCTCATGCCTGCAGACTTTGGCTCCAAGTGTGAGGCATGGCCGCTCATGACCTGGATGTGACAGAACACATGTTGCTATGTGTTTATGTTAGAGAAAGCAAGGTCAAAGCAGTTGGAAGAGAAGGTGGTGAGGTTTGTGATGGCCCTTAGACCCTGGGTGACTTCATTCCACAGTCTCAGACCAGCGCCCACGGAAGTTCTGGCTTCTGCACACATGAGCTTTACCCTTATCATACAAAGTTTCAGTCAGCTAAAGGAGAGAAGTTGTCAACCATGGCCTTCAGCCTACGGACTGAATTGACCAATTGTGGCAGTGTACTTCCAACCAAAGGAATCTACACAATGGCTTCAAACTCTTTCAACGTGCTTTCCGCTGCCCACCAGCATCACCTCTGTCTTGCTCAGTTCAGTTTCAACCAGCTGTTCCTCATCCAGGAGCTGATCTCGTCTAAGCACTGGGCCATCGTGGTAGTAGCATTATGGTGAAAGATTGGTAGAGCTCTGTGTCATCTGCATATTGATGGCACTTGCCTCCATGTCATCTGACTAGTGGCTGCATGTATATATTGAAAAGGGCTGGTGAGAGAATTGATCATTGTGGAACCCCCGAAAGGAGGGCTCTGATGGTGGAGGTTCAGTTTCCCATCACTACTTGCTGGGTGCATCGTTGAGGAAGGAAGGATCTGCCACCTCTCTTAGGCATGTAGCAGTAACTCGTGATCAACAGTGTGAAATGCTACAGAGAGGTCCAGGAAAATGAGAATGGAGGTCTGCCCTCTCTTCACTGACAGGAGATCATCCACCAGTGCCACTAAAGCAGTTTCAGTTCCATATTCTGGCCTGAATCCAGACTGCACCCAGGTGTAGAATATTTAGAATTAGAAGATTTGATTTCTGCCTTCAGGCCATTTCTCTGTTCTTTCTGAGAAACCTCCAGATCCCATTTTAGTTCCTTCTGGGCTGCTTTAATTGCATCTTAAGCAGCTTTGATTTCTTCAGGTGCCTCAGCTATTTCTTACATCTTGGTTCAAAAGGAATAAATTGCAATTTCTGACATTAGAAACTTGCTCCTACTGCTGACACCAGCATTGCCTCATGTCTGTGTGGTGGTCAGTTTTTGTAAAATGACCCGCTGTGGGGCCCCATTAGATGTCTTGGAGTCAGGTGTAAAGGGCACCCTCATGAGGCTCTGGAGTGCTGTGGTACACCAGTCTTTGTCTTGGAATAATCCCAGGGAGCAACTCTGGTTACCAAATCCAAGACAAACATTATAAGCACTTCAGCTGCTGAGGCTCTGTGGGCCCTAACACTGGCTAGGTTCCAATACATATTCCCTCACAGTCTTTAACACCACACTCCTCCCCGGGCCCAAGACACCCTGCCTCTGTGACCCCTCCTCCCAAGTGCCACAAAGGCCCACTGACCTCTCACCCTTGCCAGCTGGAGAGAAAGAACAACACATTCACCACGCTGCCCTCTGCTCATTGATTGGTCACACAGGTCTTGTGTAATTTGTTGTTAGAGAATGTACACGAGTCCTGTTATTCTTAAACCAAGATTGACCCAAGCACACACAGGCAGCTCTGGAAACCCCTGCTTAGTCACTCAGGGCAGCTACCAGACACTGTCCACCCAACTGCCTTGGAACCTGGCTGCCTTACCACCATCACTCTGGATCCAGAGATTCACCCCTAGCAGATCCATCACGCTGCCCACTGCTGATTTATGCCCACTGAGCCAGCATTCATTTATCATTAAGTTACATCAATCTACTACATTGCAGTTAAAATAGTAATGCATTTTCTGCTTATTTCTGACCGGCCAAGAAGCATTCTGTAGCTTTCTCTCAGTTATGCACTATGGCAAACCATGAGAGCTTCATACTGTTGCGTAATGGTGGATACTGATTGACTGGTGAGGATTTATAATCAGTACAAGACAGTGTGGCAAATCTTTTCAGCCCCTGAACATATCTATGTACAGAATATAGCAAATTCTGCTCTTGTAATTGCTATGGTGAAGGAGGCCTTGCCCACATCCCTCCCCACAATAAACATCGTTTATTTAACAGCTTGAGGTATAGGGGAAAACAAAACAGATAAACGCTGGAAATGGAATGGAAAATTACATGCAACACTTCACTTTGGTGGATATGGAGAAGACTGAGCAATGGTGGTTGCTGATGCATTCAGACACAGCACACAGCCAGTCTGCAAAAGAGCCCTCTATACCACAGGTTCACCCACAAAAGAGACAATTGTATCACCCTTCTAAACAAAGACTTGGGTGTATATCTATATTTTCAGCTCAAACATGGGCAAAAAAGAAATCTTGGACTCCAGGAATTTTCTACTGCACCTCTGTGGAGACCTATGGACACATAGGGTATTTGCAAGTCTAGAGCTATCCAGGATGAAACTGAGACTCATCTATCAGTTTCAAGACTTCTGAAAAACTGTCCAAAAAGGCATTTGTGAAGCTAATGCACAAAATGATCATGAATTGCACTGGGTTCCAACTGAACATGAAACTATGCAATCCCCTATTACCTGCAAGTTAGATAATGCAAAATCAACATGCCTTGATAAGGGCCCTTACTTATTTTCCTAAACCCTAGAATCATTTTACAGTAACAAAATTGCAACAGACTATTCTTCAGGCTGCTGA